TGTTGATAAATGTCACACATGTTGATAAATGTCATACATGTTGATAAATGTCATACATGTGATAAATGTCACACATAATGATAAAAGTCATACATGTTGATAAATGTCATACATGTTGATAAATGTCATACATGTTGATAAATGTCCATACATGTTGATAAATGTCATATATGTTGATAAATGTCCATACATGTTGATAAATGTCATACATGTTGATAAATGTCAGTTATGTTGATAAATGTCATACATGTTGATAAATGTCCATACATGTTGATAAATGTCATACATGTTGATAAATGTCATACATGTTGATAAATGTCATACATGTTGATAAATGTCATACATGTTGAGAGATGTCACACATGTTGATAAATGTCATACATTTTGATAAATGTCATACATGTTGATAAATGTCATACATGTTGATAAATGTCACACATATGGATAAATGTCACACATGTGGATAAATGTCATACATGTTGATAAATGTCACACATGTTGATAAATGTCATACATGTTGATAAATGTCACACATGTGGATAAATGTCACACATGTGGATAAATTTCACTCATGTTGATAAATGTCACACATGTTGATAAATGTCACACATGTTGATAAATGTCATACATGTTGATAAATGTCCATACATGTTGATTAATGTCATACATGTTGATAAATGTCATACATGTTGATAAATGTCATACATGTTGATAAATGTCACACATATGGATAAATGTCACACATGTGGATAAATGTCATACATGTGGATAAATGTCATACATGTTGATAAATGTCATACATGTTGATAAATGTCATACATGTTGATAAATGTCATACATATGGATAAATGTCACACATGTGGATAAATGTCATACATGTTGATAAATGTCACACATATTGATAAATGTCATACATGTTGATAAATTTTACTCATGTTGATAAATGTCACACATGTTGATAAATGTCACACATGTGGATAAATGTCACACATGTTGATAAATGTCATACATGTTGATAAATGTCATACATGTTGATAAATGTCATACATGTTGATAAATGTCACACATGTGGATAAATGTCATACATGTGGATAAATGTCACACATGTTGATAAATGTCACACATGTGGATAAATGTCATACATGTTGATAAATGTCATACATGTTGATAAATGTCATACATGTTGATAAATGTCATACATGTTGATAAATGTCATACATGTGGATAAATGTCACACATGTTGATAAATGTCACACATGTTGATAAATGTCATACATGTTGATAAATGCCATACATGTTGATAAATGTCATACATGTTGATAAATGTCACAAAGTTGATAAATGTCACACATGTTGATGAATGTCACACATGTTGATAAATGTCACACATGTTGATAAATGTCACACATATGGATAAATGTCACACATGTGGATAAATGTCATACATGTGGATAAATGTCACACATGTTGATAAATGTCACACATGTTGATAAATGTCATACATGTTGATAAATGTCATACATGTGATAAATGTCACACATAATGATAAAAGTCATACATGTTGATAAATGTCATACATGTTGATAAATGTCATACATGTTGATAAATGTCCATACATGTTGATAAATGTCATATATGTTGATAAATGTCACACATGTTGATAAATGTCATACATGTTGATAAATGTCAGTTATGTTGATAAATGTCATACATGTTGATAAATGTCCATACATGTTGATAAATGTCATACATGTTGATAAATGTCATACATGTTGATAAATGTCATACATGTTGAGAAATGTCACACATGTTGATAAATGTCATACATTTTGATAAATGTCATACATGTTGATAAATGTCATACATGTTGATAAATGTCACACATATGGATAAATGTCACACATGTGGATAAATGTCATACATGTTGATAAATGTCACACATGTTGATAAATGTCATACATGTTGATAAATGTCACACATGTGGATAAATGTCACACATGTGGATAAATTTCACTCATGTTGATAAATGTCACACATGTTGATAAATGTCACACATGTTGATAAATGTCATACAGGTTGATAAATGTCACACATGTGGATAAATGTCACACATGTGGATAAATTTCACTCATGTTGATAAATGTCACACATGTTGATAAATGTCACACATGTTTATAAATGTCATACATGTTGATAAATGTCACACATGTAGATAAATGTCACACATGTGGATAAATGTCATACATGTTGATAAATGTCACACATGTGGATAAATGTCACACATGTGGATAAATGTCACACATGTGGATAAATGTCATACATGTTGATAAATGTCACACATGTAGATAAATGTCATACATGTGGATACATTTTTACACATGTTGATAAATGTCACACATGTGGATAAATGTCATACATGTTGATAAATGTCATACATGTTGATAAATGTCACACATGTTGATAAATGTCATACATGTTGATAAATGTCACACATGTGGATAAATGTCACACATGTGGATAAATGTCATACATGTGGATAAATGTCACACATTTTGATAAATGTCACACATGTTGATAAATGTCACACATGTGGATAAATGTCATACACGTGATAAATGTCATACATGTTGATAAATGTCATACATGTTGATAAATGTCCATACATTTTGATAAATGTCATACATGTTGATAAATGTCCATACATGTTGATAAATGTCATACATGTTGATAAATGTCATACATGTTAGCATTTTTACGAGTGAGATATGACAGTGGCTCTTGATGTTGACTGCTAAAACAATTGCTAAATGTTTAACTGTTAAATCATTTTCTTATTGATGAAATGAGAAATAACACATTTTAGATTTCAGTTGTGTTAGTTTGACAAAATCACCGGGATAACACAATGCAGTACTCGTATTGGCATCGCGAAGTATTCAAGTTAAGGTACTTGTACTTGTTGTACGGTCCTCAGAGACGACTGCTGCTGTGACTTTGGGCAATACACAAATATAACAAATGTAGCTTATTTTAGATCAAAATAAGGATAAAAATACGATAATAATATGTTATGTGTTTGTTATCTTTACAGTGGTCCCATCAGAGACAGAGCCACAGATGGTTCAGTGTCAGAGAAACAGGACGATCGCAGAAACTACAGAAAGTTAAAAACACCTCAAATGTCTCCGTGACACAAAGTTTACTGCAGCTCAGATCTGAAATCGTAAACACTAAAGCTGTCGACTGTCTCGGTTTCACGGCAGACGAATGATGCATTATTAAATGATCATGTTGTATGTGATAACACAATAACTGTTTTTAATGTGCAATAATATCTACAGTAGAAATGAATTTAAAGAGGCGTGTTTGTTGGCCTGCCTTATCCCTGTGCCACCACCAGAGGGAGCTGTAGAATTTTTATTTTTTTTTCAAACGTTCATTACTTTTGTTTTAAAGACAAAAAAACGGCAGTGAGTGTGATGTCATAATGGTATAATGACATCACACTGTTACAGGAGCATGGAAGTCAAAACCAGGACTATACTGAGACCAGAGAGAGTCCAGAGGGAGAGACCAGAGAGAACAACCAGAGAGAGATACCAGAGAGAGAGAGTTCGGAGAAAGACCAAAGAGAGAGACAGAGACCACAGAGAGACCAGAGAGAGAACGAGTTCAGAGAGAGACCAGAGAGAAGCCACAGAGGGCCCAGAGAGAGTGACTAGAAAGAGAGACCAGAAAAAGAGACCAGGGAGACACGAGAGAGGCCAGAGAGAGACTAGAGAGAGAACACATGGGGAGTCCGGAGAGAGACCACAGAGACCAGAGAGAGACCACAGAAACCAGAGAGAGACCACAGAAACCAGAGAGACCAGAGAGAGGCCACAGAGGGCCCAGAGAGAGTGACCAGAAAAAGAGACCAGAGGGAGAGAGATCAGAGAGAGACCAGGGAGACCACAGAGACCACAGAGACCAGAGAGAGACCACAGTGACCAGAGAGAGACCACAGTGACCAGAGAGAGACCAGAGAGAGACCACAGTGACCAGAAAGAGACCAGAGAGAGACCACAGAGACCACAGAGACCAGAGAGAGACCACAGTGACCACAGAGACCAGAGAGAGACCACAGAGACCACAGAGACCAGAGAGACCAGAGAGAGACAGCATTATGGAAATTAGCCAACGCTCTCTGCACAGACGCTCTTTCTTCCGTTCCTGTCTGAGCATGAAACTCTAAATATCCGATTCTTGTAAAACGGCAGAATAGAGTAACAGCCTCTTCTTCTTCTTCTTCTTCCATCTTTAGGCACAGGGCGTTCCCCAAAACTGGCCTCTTCTTTTGCTCAACTTTTGTTCATTTCACACCAATTATCTGCTCGTCCTCTCGTCGCGCAGACTCCGGGGAATGACATTGGCGCTAATTGGATTCAAATGGAAATAAAGAAATAAAAGTGAGGAAGACTTTGATGGAGGAAAGCTGGTGTCACGGATTTACACACAGGGGGTTGAGGAAGAAGATGGAGATGAGGTCTTTTGAGTCTGTTGAGTTTGTGTTGAGTTTGCAGAGAGTTGTGTAATCTTGGTCCTATTTCAATCTGGAAAGACTCGAGACGAAGGTTGTGTTGGAATATGTATAGTCGAGATGCGTGACAAAACACCAGCAGACTGAGATTGAGACTAATATGTTCATAGTTAAGTTTGGATTAGACCCCGGCGGGAACCCTGCATGAGTCCGCAGGAGGGAGTTTGATAGAAATGGTGAGCTTGCGACCCCCGGGGGCCTAGAACCTGGACTTGACATGACTCTCCACTGAAGAGGCGGTGATGGGGAGGAGGTGGGTTGCTGCTCTAATAGTAGCTTGAGCTGCACAGAACTGAGAGGCTCTGATTAAATGGAGCCATGATCAGCACAGGTACAAGAGTGGAGAGGGAGGAGTCAGTGTAGAGGGGGAGGAGTCAGTGGAGAGGGAGGAGTCAGTGTAGAGGGGGAGCAGTCAGTGTAGATGGAGGAGTCAGTGCAGAGGGAGGAGTCAGTGTAGATGGAGGAGTCAGTGCAGAGGGAGGAGTCAGTGTAGAGGGGTAGGAGTCAGTGCAGAGGGAGGAGTTAGTGTAGAGGGAGGAGTCAGTGTAGAGGGGGAGGAGTCAGTGTAGAGGGAGGAGTCCGTATAGAGGGAGGAGTCAGTGGAGAGGGAAGACTCAGTGTAGAGGGAGGAGTCAGTGTAGAGGGGGAGGAGTCAGTGTAGAGGGAGGAGTCCGTATAGAGGGAGGAGTCAGTGTAGAGGGGGAGGAGTCAGTGTAGAGGGAGGAGTCCGTATAGAGGGAGGAGTCAGTGGAGTGGGAAGAGTCAGTGTAGAGGGAGGAGTCAGTGTAGAGGGGGAGGAGTCAGTGTAGAGGGGGAGGAGTCAGTGGAGAGGGAGGAGTCATTGTAGAGGGGTAGGAGTCAGTGCAGAGGGAGGAGTCATTGTAGAGGGGTAGGAGTCAGTGCAGAGGGAGGAGTTAGTGTAGAGGGGTAGGAGTCAGTGCAGAGGGAGGAGTTAGTGTAGAGGGAGGAGTAGTGTAGAGGGGGAGGAGTCAGTGTAGAGGGGGAGGAGTCAGTATAGAGGGAGGAGTCAGTGAAGAGGGAAGAGTCAGGCTGTATCCGAATGTCCACACTATACCCTATTCACTCACTCACTATATAGTTCGGGACTATATAGCGACTGAGTGAGTGAGTCAGTGCACTCATTCTGTTGGCAATTCGGACACATGCACACTATTTTTAGCCGCGGCCCACATCACACGTCATTGGATCAATATAATTTTATATATAAATAAAAGTATATTAAAATATCAATATTTGTCTAATATACATGTATAAAATGTTTTTACAATTTATATTCATATTTATGAATTTTGGTTGACTTATTCGCTTAACGTCTTTCATATTTTCGCCACCTGACCAGCTCCTCTAACACTGGTGAAATGGCACCTCCACTGAATTTTGCGGTGTTTTTGTTAACAATTATAAAACTTCTCATAATGCGAATTAAAAACCGCCGAACAGAGAGAAGGCGAAGACAGGCGATGAGGCGGAGGAGGAGAATGGCTCTTCGTTCATTAGCAAGGCGTCGTGTAAGTATTGTATTCGTCCTTTGTCTATATAGCATTAGCACCATCTACTGGGTAAATTATAGTACTTTTGGTGTACTTACTAATTAAAAATACTATTCTCAGTCAATGAGAAACACATTAGTCATATACATTTAGACATATTTCAACAAGAAAACACATTGTATAGACACACTCACTTAAAATGCAAGAACATTAAAATATTTTATTGGTTGAAAGAACACAAAACCATAGCAAGGGAAATGGATTAAGTACTCATTTTTTCTAAATGAAAAATGAGTACTTAATCATTAAACAATAGAATTTGCTTGGCCATGGGGCACAGGGCTTCTGTGATTTTTTTGTGTGTTATTAGGTGCGAGTGATGTAGTGAGGGTTTCTACTTCAGTTGTCTCAGGGCAGCTCCAGCTCCCTGCAACACACAATACATTTGGCAAAATCAATGCCAGGGCACAAAAGAACATGACTTCAGCTATATACTCTTCATTTTTATTTACATTTTTAAATCTCAAAATGAAAAATGAGTACTTATTCCTGTGTCTGCACTCATAACTAAAAGTGCAGATACAGAATTAAAAAATGAATCTAGAAGTATCATATTAAGTTTAAGATAATTTTTGTTTTGTTTTAGGGTGAACCACCGGTGTACTGCCGACTGAACCACCATGTACCCCTACTCAGCATGTACTTAAATGGCCAGTCTGACCTTCGCCCCGATTTTCGTCTCACTCGAACCACCATCACCCGTCTGGTTAGCCACCTGAGGAGTGCTCATCACCAGGGCTGGAGCCAGGACATGGAGGTTTTGGTCTTCCTCTTTTGGTTGGCCAGTGGCACCGCGTACCGTGTTGTCGCCAGGGCATTGGACATGCCCCAGTCCACAGTCCACGATGTGATCCACAGGGTGGCCAACCAGATCCTTCAAATGCGTGGCCAAATAATTCATTTCCCTTCCCTGGAGGAACTTCCCCAAGTTGCAGCTGGGTTTCAGTTGCTGGCTGGATCAGCTGCTCTCAATAATGTTGTGGGGAGCATCGACGGCTGCCACATCAGAATAAAGCCCCTTCAAGAAAATGCACAGTGTTATTTTAACAGGAAATTGTTTTATTCCATTCAAATGCAGGCTGTGTGTAATCACCGTGGCTTATTTCTTGATTTGTTTGTTGGCTACCCCGGATCTGTGCACGATTCTCGAGTGCTTAAAAACAGCCCCCTCTACGTCCACCGGCTCTATCCCCCAAATGGACACGTCCTCCTTGGGGATGGTGGCTAGCCTTGCCTCCGTCAGCCCATCACACTCCTCCCTCCATACAGAGAGCCTGTTTGGAGCCCAGTGGAAGCCCGCTTCAACCGGCACCATGCACGGGCACGATCTGTAATAGAGAGAGCGTTTGGTATGATGAAAGCAAGATGGCGATCCATTTTTTTCAAGGCACTGGAAGTCCAACCCACCTTTGCAGTCGAGGTGACTGCCTGTTGCGCCATCCTGCACAACATCTGCGTCAGCGATGGTGATCTCTGGGAGCCAGTGGAAGAGGAGCCAGGGCCTGATGATGAGCAGGACCAGCATCAGCAGCACCAGCCTGATCAGCAGTGTGGACAGGAGCTGTGTGGACAGGAGCTGTGTGGACAGGAGCTGTGTGGACAGGAGCTGTGTGGACAGGAGCTGTGTGGACAGGAGCTGTGTGGACAGGAGCTGTGTGGACAGGAGCTGTGTGGACAGGAGCTGTGTGGACAGGAGCTGTGTGGACAGGAGCTGTGTGGACAGGAGCTGTGTGGACAGGAGCTGCGTGGACAGGAGCTGCGTGGACAGGAGCTGCGTGGACAGGAGCTGCGTGGACAGGAGCTGTGTGGACAGGAGCTGTGTGGACAGGAGCTGTGTGGACAGGAGCTGTGTGGACAGGAGCTGTGTGGACAGGAGCTGTGTGGACAGGAGCTGTGTGGACAGGAGCTGTGTGGACAGGAGCTGTGTGGACAGGAGCTGTGTGGACAGGAGCTGTGTGGACAGGAGCTGTGTGGACAGGAGCTGTGTGGACAGGAGCTGTGTGGACAGGAGCTGTGTGGACAGGAGCTGTGTGGACAGGAGCTGTGTGGACAGGAGCTGTGTGGACAGGAGCTGTGTGGACAGGAGCTGTGTGGACAGGAGCTGTGTGGACAGGAGCTGCGTGGACAGGAGCTGTGTGGACAGGAGCTGTGTGGACAGGAGCTGCGTGGACAGGAGCTGTGTGGACAGGAGCTGTGTGGACAGGAGCTGTGTGGACAGGAGCTGTGTGGACAGGAGCTGTGTGGACAGGAGCTGTGTGGACGGATGGCAGCAGCACTTTCCACCCCAAGGGCCAGGCTACCAGCTCTTCGGGACCACGACTATTAATTAAATGTTTGAATAATCTGTGTTTTGGCCTATTTAAATAAAAACAAAAACAATTGAATATGTAAATATCTGAAAAGAAATTGTTGAATGTATGTATAGTTTTCTTTACAAATGTCTAGTTGATTAAATTTTTTGTGTGTAAATAGTGTTCATCATTGTATGTCGATATGCATATAGTTCAAACTACACTTATCAAAATACCTCCTCTGGCTGTACGAGGGCAGGGGGTTGTTCCACAGATGTGGAAACGCCCTCCCCCATGGATGAGGCAATCAGACAGGGAGGCTGCACGGATGGCCTGCTGCCTATTGCCTCATCCATGAGGGAGTACCACTTCCAAGATATGGCGGTAGGCTCCCCTCCTTCTGTCCCTGTCCCTGTCCGTGGCTGTCTGAGCTCCTTAAAACAGTGAGTTTTATATAATATATGCTTCACAAATTAGCTTCAAAGAAACAAACCTTGTAGGTCTTTTTCAGGTTCTCCCACTTCTTGGCCGCTCTGGCAGGGCTGATCAGGCGGCTCAGCCCCATTTCCTTTATTACTGCCCTAAAGTAACGATACATAAAAACATTTGAATATGAGTAGACGTTTTTTGAATAAGTATTTATTCATAATGGTCATACTCCCATCCAGCCGCCGATGCAAATTTTTCACCCGCAGTCAGATGAGTCTCTCCACATCAGTGTCTGTCCCTTTAAAAAACATTAAACACACAATAAATGCTATACATATAACACAAGTGCTTTAATAACATTAATGACTGACCACCAGTGACCCGTTTCTGTAGCGTTCGCTTTAGATGTTAATGTTATGATATGCGAAAATGCTAACACTTTCGCGGCATAACATTGGTACGTTGTTTCGCAGTAAAAGGCAATGGTATTCAAATGTGTATTTTGGCAGCTTATCGTCAACAATATATCACGGTTGACACATTTACAAATTTATGATGATTAAAAACTCACATTTATAGCTCATGTGTTGCTCCTCTTCCAACACGTCTCTCGCTGCCTCCGCCATTTTACTTCCGTATAGTGACCATCGCTGCTCACTACATTTTCGAGATGCATTGTGGGAAAATTCCAGTGCACTACTTTTTCTCTCTGGACATTCGGACACCCCTACAAAATGGCGTGACCACTATATAGTGCACTATATAGGGTATAGTGTGGACATTCGGATACAGCCTCAGTGTAGAGGGGGAGGAGTCAGTGTAGAGGGAGGAGTCAGTGCAGAAGGAAGAGGGAGGAGTCAGTGTAGAGGGAGGGGTCAGTGCAGAGGGCGGAGTCAGTGAGGACTCCTCCCTCTGTCTCTTCTTTCCTCTCTCAATCTCCCATTTGCCCTGACCTGCCCCTCACCCCTCCCCCTCTCTCCCCCTCATCCACTGATTAATCTCCCATTCGCCCTGACCTCCTTCCTCTCCCCATGTCTCCTCCCTCTCATCTCCTCTCCTCTGCTCACCCTAAGTCTCCTATCATCCCCTCCCCTCCTCTCTCTCCCTCATCTGCTGATAAATCTCCCATTTGCCCTATGTCTCCTATCCCATCCCTCCCCTCCTCCTCTCCTCTTTCTATCCATTGTCCTCCTCTCCTCTCCTCTTTTTATCCATTGTCCTCCTCTCCTCTCCTCTCCCTCCCCTCCTCTGCTGATAAATCTCCCAGTCTCCTCCTCTCCCCTTCTTTCCTTTCCTCTCCTCTCTCTCCCTCCTTTGCTTATAAATCTCCCTTTCGCCCTGACCTGCCCCTTGCCCCCCCTCCTCTATCACCTCCCCCCTCCCCTCTCACCTCTCCTCCTCTCTGTCCCTGTCAGCCTGATGCAGTGGTGACCTCCTGGTGCTACGGGAGCCCAGAGGGGACATGGAGACAAACGAGGAGGTGCAGGACGTCCATCCTGATCTTGGGGCGTGGCCATGTTGTTCTCGCCGTGTAATGATCCCAGGCTTTGGAACCAGGAGGATATTGGAAATCGATGAGGACCATAAGAGCGTTAGGTCACATGGTTTTTCCTGCGTCTGCTCCTTCAGGACACCAGGAATATTCACAATATCAGCCGGAGATGTCAATGTGTAGATTAGAGAGAGACCAGAGAGAGAGAAACCAGAGGGAGACTAGAGAAAGAGATCAGAGAGAGAGAAACCAGAGGGAGACTAGAGAAAGAGATCAGAGAGAGAGAAACCAGAGAGAAACTAGAGAGACCAGAGAGAGACTAGAGAGAGACTAGAGTGAGAGAGACCAGAGAGAGACTACAGAGACAGACCAGAGAGAAACCAGAGAGAGAAACCAGAGAGAGACCAGAGAGAGAGACCAGAGAGAGAGAAACCAGAGAGAGACCAGAGAGAGAGAAACCAGAGGGAGACTAGAGAAAGAGACCAGAGAGAAACCAGAGAGAGACCAGAGAGAAACTAGAGAGAGAGCCCATAGAGAGACTAGAGAGAGACTAGAGTGAGAGAGACCAGAGAGAGACTACAGAGACAGACCAGAGAGAAACCAGAGAGAGAGACCAGAGAGAGACTATTGAGACATAAACATGAACTATAATTTAAAACCCATTGAGTGAAGACAGGTAAACGCAGCATAAACTATTCATTGCAAGTATCTCACACAAACACACATAAACAAAACCCTCCCCTCTCTCCCCCACGTTCCTCACCCCCTCACCCCCTGCTCCCGGTCGTCTCGCAATGATCCGGTTTGTTCAGAGCTTCCGTCCGCTTCACCTCTGCCCTCGAAGCACTTAGCAGCCCTGTACTTCCAGACCAGTGACTCAGTCTGTTCAAATCTGGTCTGAGGATCCTCCATTAGACCCGGACCAGTAGCAGCCAACAAGAAGTCCCAATATTCTAACAAATGAAGAGATTAGAAAGAGCCGTGTGAGAGAGAGCAGAGTGGGACCAGAGAGAGACTAGAGAGAACAGAGAGAGAGCAGAGAGAACAGAGAGAGACTAGAGAGAACAGAGAGAGACTAGACCAGAGAGAGATTAGAGGGGGACCAGAGAGAGACTAGACCAGAGAGAGATTAGAGGGGGTCCAGCGAGAGACTAGAGAGACTAGAGAGTGACGAGAGAGACTAGACCAGAGAGGGACTAGAGGGTGACCAGAGAGAGACTAGACCAGCGAGAGACTAGAGAGACTAGAGGGGGACCAGAGAGAGACTAGAGAGACTAGAGGGTGACGAGAGAGACTAGACCAGAGAGAGATTAGAGGGGGACCAGAGAGACTAGAGGGTGACCAGAGAGAGACTAGACCAGCGAGAGACTAGAGAGACTAGAGAGGGACCAGAGAGAGATAGAGGGGGACCAGAGAGAGACTAGAGAGAACAGAGGGGGACCAGAGAGAGACTAGAGGGGGACCAGAGAGAGACTAGAGAGACTAGAGGGGGACCAGAGAGAGATAGAGGGGGACCAGAGAGAGACTAGAGAGAACAGAGGGGGACCAGAGAGAGACTAGAGAGAACAGAGGGGGACCAGAGAGAGACTAGAGGGGGACCAGAGAGAGATTAGAGGGGGACCAGAGAGAGACTAGAGAGAACAGAGGGGGACCAGAGAGAGACCAGAGAGAGACTAGAGAGACCTGAGGGAGACTGAAGAGAACAGAGGGGGACCAGAGAGAGACTATTGAAAGACTCAAAACAAATTGCTGATTGGTAAAAAAGATATCACGTAGTTGTGTAACTTCTCAAACATATTCTCTGTGATATTTGGCGGATATAACTTCTGGGCGGTCACCTTGGGAACGGTCCGGAACGGTCCGGAAGCTTCCTGTCGCTGGTCCAGTCATGCGGACATCCTTCAGGACAGATCCACTCCAGGTTCAGGACTCGGGCTGTTTGTGTCTTTGCTTTGACCTTCTCTGAGTCAGAGATAAGTGGCCCAGGTGAGGAGGGGGAGAGGAGGGGTGAGGAGGGGGGAGGAGGGGGGAAGAGGTGAGGAGGGGGAGAGGAGGGGTGAGGAGGGGGGAGGAGGGGGGAAGAGGTGAGGAGGGGGAGAGGAGGGGTGACGAGGGGGGAGGAGGTGTGAGGAGGGGGGAGGAGGGGGGAGGAGGGGGGAAGAGGTGAGGAGGGGGAGAGGAGGGGTGAGGAGGGGGGAGGAGGGGTGAGGAGGGGGAGAGGAGGGGGAGAGGAGGGGTGAGGAGGGGGGAGGAGGGCATGAGGAGGGGGAGAGGAGGGGGGAGGAGGGAGTGAGGCGGGGTGAGGAGGGGGTGAGGAGGGAGTGAGGAGGGCGTGAGGAGGGGGAGAGGAGGGGTGAGGAGGGGGGGAGTAGGGGGGGAGGAGGGAGTGAGGCGGGGTGAGGAGGGAGTGAGGAGGGGGAGAGGAGGGGGAGAGGAGGGGTGAGTAGGGGGGGAGGAGGGAGTGAGGCGGGGTGAGGAGGGCGTGAGGAGGGGGAGAGGAGGGGGAGAGGAGGGGGGAGGAGGGCGTGAGGAGGGGGAGAGGAGGGGGGAGGAGGGAGTGAGGCGGGGTGAGGAGGGGGTGAGGAGGGAGTGAGGAGGGCGTGAGGAGGGGGAGAGGAGGGGTGAGGAGGGGGGAGTAGGGGGGAGGAGGGGAGTGAGGAGGGCGTGAGGAGGGCGTGAGGAGGGCGTGAGGAGGGGGAGAGGAGGGGGAGAGGAGGGGTGAGGAGGGGGGAGGAGGGCGTGAGGAGGGGGAGAGGAGGGGGGAGTGAGGCGGGGTGAGGAGGGGGTGAGGAGGGGTGAGTAGGGGGGAGGAGGGAGTGAGGCGGGGTGAGGAGGGAGTGAGGAGGGGTGAGGAGGGAGTGAGGAGGGCGTGAGGAGGGGGAGAGGAGGGGTGAGTAGGGGGGAGGAGGGGGGAGGACGGTGAGGGGAGGTGAGGAGTGGGTGAGGGGGGGAGGAAGAGGACTCTTGATGAACTCTACAAGTTTATCAAAAGTATGATATGTGTTATTAACCATTTAACAAAGTTACTTTGACAGGAGAGAGAGACCAGAGAGAGAGAGACCAGGGAGAGAGGCCAGAGAGAGACCAAAGAGAGACCAGAGAGAGACCAGAGAGAGACCAGAGAGAGACCAGGGAGAGAGGCCAGAGAGAGACCAAAGAGAGACCAGAGAGAGACCAGAGAGAGACCAGAGAGAGACTAGAGAGAGACCATAGAGAGACCAGAGAGAGACCAGAGAGAGACTAGAGAGAGGCCAGAGAGAGACCAGAGAGACAGGCCAGGGAGAAACCAGAGAGAGAGAGACCAGGGAGAGACCTTTGATATCCTTCTTGTCTTCTTCTGTTAACATGACACTAATACTCACTTCTGCTGCTTCATTTTCTACAGTTTTGTTTATTGTTAATCTGTAAATCTGAAGGTGAGTGTCAGAAGTGAAAGTCGTCCTTCACTAAAGCGACAAATACAATGATGAAGATGAAGATGGTGATGATGAAGATGATGAAGATGAGGCTTGGGTGTGCGGCTCTTTCACCTGAGTCTGCGGTGATCTCAGGGGATCCTCTGCAGCCGGAGGACACTGGGGTTAATTAACACAAGATTGAACTGAAGCCAAATATGCAGTTTGTGAGAACTGCTACTTCACCTCAGAGACACTGGAGGGGGAGGAAGGGGGAGGAAGGGGGGGGGGGGGGGGGGGGGGGGGGGGGGGAAGAGGGGAGGGAGGAGGGAGGAGGGGGGAGGGAGAGGGAGGAGGGGGGAGGAGGGGGGAGGGAGGGGGAGGGAGGGAGGAAGAGGGGAGTGAGGAGAGAGAACCTCATATGCAGTGTGTGAGAACGACTACTTCACCTCAGAGACACTGGAAGGAGAGGGAGGAGGACCAGAGAGAGACCAGAGAGAGACCAGAGAGAGACCAGAGAGGGACCAGAGAGAGACCAGAGAGAGACCAGAGAGAGACCAGAGAGAGACCAGAGAGGGACCAGAGAGAGACCAGAGAAGGACCAGAGAGAGACCAGAGAGAGACCAGAGAGAGACCAGAGAGAGACCAGAGAGACCCCAGAGAGAGACCAGAGAGACACCAGAGAGAGACCAGAGAGGGACCAGAGAGGGACCAGAGAGAGACCAGAGAGGGACCAGAGAGGGACCAGAGAGGGACCAGAGAGAGACCAGAGAGAGACCAGAGAGACACCAGAGAGAGACCAGAGAGGGACCAGAGAGAGGGACCAGAGAGGGACCAGAGAGAGACCAGAGAGAGACCAGAGAGAGACCAGAGAGGGACCAGAGAGAGACCAGAGAGGGACCAGAGAGAGACCAGAGAGAGACCAGAGAGAGACCAGAGAGAGACCAGAGAGGAGACCAGAGAGAGACCAGAGACAGACCAGAGAGAGACCAGAGAGAGACCAGAGAGGGACCAGAGAGAGACCAGAGAGAGACCAGAGAGAGACCAGAGAGAGACCAGAGAGAGACCACAGAGAGAGACCCGAGAGGGACCAGAGAGAGACCAGAGAGAGACCAGAGAGAGACCAGAGAGGGACCAGAGAGAGACCAGAGAGGGAACAGAGAGAGACCAGAGAGAGACCAGAGAGAGACCAGAGAGAGACCAGAGAGAGACCAGAGAGGGACCAGAGAGAGACCAGAGAGAGACCAGAGAGAGACCAGAGAGACACCAGAGAGAGACCAGAGAGGGACTAGAGAGGGACCAGAGAGAGACCAGAGAGGGACCAGAGAGAGACCAGAGAGAGACCAGAGAGAGACCAGAGAGGGACCAGAGAGAGACCAGAGAGGGACCAGAGAGAGACCAGAGAGAGACCAGAGAGAGACCAGAGAGGGACCAGAGAGAGACCAGAGAGGAGACCAGAGAGAGACCAGAGAGAGACCAGAGAGGGACCAGAGAGAGACCAGAGAGAGACCAGAGAGAGACCAGAGAGAGACCAGAGAGGGACCAGAGAGAGACCAGAGAAGGACCAGAGAGAGACCAGAGAGAGACCAGAGAGAGACCAGAGAGAGACCAGAGAGACACCAGAGAGAGACCAGAGAGACACCAGAGAGAGACCAGAGAGAGACCAGAGAGAGACCAGAGAGGGACCAGAGAGAGACCAGAGAGGGACCAGAGAGAGACCAGAGAGAGACCAGAGAGAGACGAGAGAGACCAGAGAGAGACCAGAGAGAGACCAGAGAGAGACCAGAGAGAGACCAGAGAGAGAGACCAGAGAGAGACCAGAGAGAGACCAGAGAGAGAGACCAGAGAGAGACCAAGAGAGAGACCAGTGAGAGACCAGAGAGAGACCAGAGAGAGACCAGAGAGAGACCAGAGAGAGACCAGAGAGAGACCAGAGAGAGACCCAGAGAGAGACCAGAGAGAGAGACCAGAGAGAGAGACCAGAGAGAGACCAGAGAGAGACCAGAGAGAGAGACCAGAGAGAGACCAGAGAGAGACCAGAGAGAGAGACCAGAGAGAGAGACCAGAGAGAGAGACCCGAGAGAGACCAGAGAGAGACCAGAGAGAGAGCCAGAGAGAGACCAGAGAGAGACCAGAGAGAGACCAGAGAGAGACCAGAGAGAGACCAGAGAGAGAGAGACCAGAGAGAGACCTGAGAGAGACCCGAGAGAGACCAGAGAGAGACCAGAGAGAGAGACCAGAGAGAGACCAGAGAGAGACCAGAGTGAGACCAGAGAGAGAGACCAGAGAGAGACCAGAGAGAGAGACCAGAGAGAGACCAGTGAGAGACCAGAGAGAGACCAGAGAGAGAGACCTGAGAGAGACCAGAGAGAGACCAGAGAGACCAGAGAGAGACCAGAGAGAGACCAGAGAGAGAGACCTGAGAGAGACCAGAGAGAGATCAGAGAGACCAGAGAGAGACCAGAGAGAGACCAGAGAGAGAGAGACCAGAGAGAGACCAGAGAGAGACCAGAGAGAGACAGAGAGAGAGAGACCAGAGAGAGACCCGAGAGAGAGACCCGAGAGAGACCAGAGAGAGACCAGAGAGAGACCAGAGAGAGACCAGAGAGAGAGACCAGAGAGAGACCAGAGAGAGAGACCAGAGAGAGACCAGTGAGAGACCAGAGAGAGAGACCTGAGAGAGACCAGAGAGAGACCAGAGAGACCAGAGAGAGACCAGAGAGAGACCAGAGAGAGACCAGAGAGAGACCAGAGAGAGACCAGAGAGAGAGAGACCAGAGAGAGACCAGAGAGAGACCAGAGAGAGAGACCAGAGAGAGAGAGACCAGAGAGAGACCAGAGAGAGACCAGAGAGAGACCAGAGAGAGACCAAAGAGAGACCAGAGAGAGACCAGAGAGAGAGAGACCAGAGAGAGACCAGAGAGAGACCAAAGAGAGACCAGAGAGAGAGACCTGAGAGAGACCAGAGAGAGACCAGAGAGAGGCCAGAGAGAGAGAGCAGAGAAAGACCAGAGAGAGACCAGAGAGAGACCAGAGAGAGACCAGAGAGAGACCAGAGAGAGAGAGACCAGAGAGAGACCGGAGAGAGACCCGAGAGAGACCAGAGAGAGACCAGAGAGAGACCAGAGAGAGACCAGAGAGAGACCAGAGAGAGACCAGAGAGAGACCAGAGTGAGACCAGAGAGAGAGACCAGAGAGAGACCAGAGAGAGAGACCAGAGAGAGACCAGTGAGAGACCAGAGAGAGAGACCAGTGAGAGACCAGAGAGAGAGACCAGTGAGAGACCAGTGAGAGACCAGAGAGAGAGACCAGAGAGAGACCAGTGAGAGACCAGAGAGAGAGACCAGAGAGAGACCAGTGAGAGACCAGTGAGAGACCAGAGAGAGACCAGAGAGAGAGACCTGAGAGAGACCAGAGAGAGACCAGAGAGAGACCAGAGAGAGAGACCAGAGAGAGACCAGAGAGAGACCAGAGAGAGACCAGAGAGAGAGACCAGAGAGAGACCAGAGAGAGACCAAAGAGAGACCAGAGAGAGACCAGAGAGAGACCAGAGAGAGACCAGAGAGAGAGACCTGAGAGAGACCAGAGAGAGACCAGAGAGAGGCCAGAGAGAGACCAGAGAGAGACCAGAGAGAGACCAGAGAGAGACCAGAGAGAGAGAGACCAGAGAGAGACCAGAGAGAGAGAACAGAGAGAGAGACCAGAGAGAGACCAGAGAGAGAGACCAGAGAGAGACCAGAGAGAGACCAGAGAGAGAGCAGAGAAAGACCAGAGAGAGACCAGAGAGAGACCAGAGTGAGACCAGAGAGAGAGACCAGAGAGAGACCAGAGAGAGAGACCAGAGAGAGACCAGTGAGAGACCAGAGAGAGAGACCAGAGAGAGACCAGTGAGAGACCAGAGAGAGAGACCAGTGAGAGACCAGTGAGAGACCAGAGAGAGAGACCAGAGAGAGACCAGTGAGAGACCAGAGAGAGAGACCAGAGAGAGACCAGTGAGAGACCAGTGAGAGACCAGAGAGAGAGACCAGAGAGAGACCATGATTTTTCCAATGGTTGGAACAGGCTCTGACATAAAGATTACATCAGGGCGGGTTAAAGGCCGAGTCGTTCTGCCACACCAGCCCAGGTCTCTCTCTCTCAGTCGGAGAAACAGTCAGCCTGGGTTTTTATGGTAAAAAAAACTGGTTCTTTTGTTTTGCATTGTGGCATTTTATCAGACAGGATCTTTCGAGAACCAGTGACTACGCTGAGAACTCACCGGTTTTTCGTCCAAACTCCCAAACGCTCAGAGATGTTTTGATTACGAGCTTTTCATTTCAAACAATAGGCGGCCATCTTGGACTGATGTCAGATATGTGTTTTACGGCTTCTTCCATGACGTCGACGGAGACTTTGTGGACTGGTTATTTGTCAAATCTGTGGGTTCCTCTCTGGTCCCGTGTCTCCTCAGACTCCTGCTGGTCCTGTCACTGCAGAACGAGACCATATTTCACACAGACCCTGTAAACGCTTTCTTCTTAAATGCCAACGTCATTCATTTTCAGGTGTTTTGCTCTTATTAAAAAACATGTGGAGCCGACGGAATGTCAGAGGTATCACAGAAGATCTGCTGTGACTGATGCTGCTCTCTCTCTGGTCTCTCTCTCTGGTCTCTCTCTGGGCTCACTCTGGTCTCTCTCTCTGGTCTCTCTCTCTGGTCTCTCTCTGGTCTCTCTCTCTCTGGTCTCTCTCTGGTCTCTCTCTCTGGGCTCACTCTGGTCTCTCTCTGGTCTCTCTCTGGTCTCTCTCTGGTCTCTCTCTGGTCTCTCTCTGGTCTCTCTCTGGTCTCTCTCTGGTCTCTCTCTGGTCTCTCTCTGGTCTCACTCTGGTCTCACTCTGGTCTCTCTCTGGTCTCTCCCTCTGGTCTCACTCTGGTCTATCTCTGGTCTCTCTGTGGTCTCTCTCTGGTCTCACTCTGGTCTCTCTCTCTGGTCTCACTCTGGTCTCTCTCTGGTCTCACTCTGGTCTCTCTCTGGTCTCTCTCTGGTCTCACTCTGGTCTCACTCTGGTCTCACTCTGGTCTCTCTCTGGTCTCTCTCTGGTCTCTCTCTGGTCTCTCTCTGGTCTCTCTCTGGTCTCTCACTGGTCTCACTCTGGTCTCACTCTGGTATCTCTCTGGTCTCTCTCTAGTCTCTCTCTGGTCTCACTCTGGTCTCACTCTGGTCTCTCTCTGGTCTCTCTCTGGTCTCACTCCAGTCTCACTCCGGTCTCTCTCTGGTCTCTCTCTGGTCACTCTCTGGTCTCTCTCTGGTCTCTCTCTGGTCTCCCTCTGGTCTCTCTCTGGTCTCTCTCCAGTCTCACTCTGGTCTCTCTCTGGTCTTTCTCTGGTCTCTCTCTGGTCTCACTCTGGTCTCACTCTGGTCTCTCTCTGGTCTCTCTCTGGTCTTTCTCTGGTCTCTCTGGTCTAAGTCTCTCTTTGGTCTCTGTCTCTGGTCTCTCTCTGGTCTCTCTCTGGTCTCTCTCTGGTCTCTCTCTGGTCTCTCTCTGGTCTCACTCTGGTCTCTCTCTGGTCTCTCTCCAGTCTCACTCTGGTCTCTCTCTGGTCTCTCTCTGGTCTCACTCTGGTCTCACTCTGGTCTATCTCTGGTCTATCTCTGGTCTCTCTGTGGTCTCTCTCTGGTCTCACTCTGGTCTCACTCTGGTCTCTCTCTGGTCTCTCCCTCTGGTCTCACTCTGGTCTATCTCTGGTCTCTCTGTGGTCTCTCTCTGGTCTCACTCTGGTCTCTCTCTGGTCTCACTCTGGTCTCTCTCTGGTCTCTCTCTGGTCTCTCTCTGGTCTCTCTCTGGTCTCACTCTGGTCTCTCTCTGGTCTCTCTCTGGTCTCACTCTGGTCTCACTCTGGTCTCACTCTGGTCTCACTCTGGTCTCACTCTGGTCTCTCTCTGGTCTCTCTCTGGTCTCTCTCTGGTCTCTCACTGGTCTCACTCTGGTCTCACTCTGGTCTCTCTCTGGTCTCTCTCTAGTCTCTCTCTGGTCTCACTCTGGTCTCACTCTGGTCTCTCTCTGGTCTCTCTCTGGTCTCACTCCAGTCTCACTCCGGTCTCTCTCTGGTCTCTCTCTGGTCTCTCTCTGGTCTCTCTCTGGTCTCTCTCTGGTCTCCCTCTGGTCTCTCTCTGGTCTCTCTCCAGTCTCACTCTGGTCTCTCTCTGGTCTTTCTCTGGTCTCTCTCTGGTCTCACTCTGGTCTCACTCTGGTCTCTCTCTGGTCTCTCTCTGGTCTTTCTCTGGTCTCTCTGGTCTAAGTCTCTCTTTGGTCTCTGTCTCTGGTCTCTCTCTGGTCTCTCTCTGGTCTCTCTCTGGTCTCTCTCTGGTCTCACTCTGGTCTCTCTCTGGTCTCTCTCCAGTCTCACTCTGGTCTCTCTCTGGTCTCTCTCTGGTCTCACTCTGGTCTCACGCTGGTCTCACTCTGGTCTCTCTCTGGTCTCTCTCTGGTCTCACTCTGGTCTCACTCTGGTCTCACTCTGGTCTCTCTCTGGTCTCTCTCCAGTCTCACTCTGGTCTCTCTCTGGTCTTTCTCTGGTCTCTCTGGTCTTAGTCTCTCTCAGGTCCCTCTTCTTTGCTCTCTCTCTCTCTCTCTCTCTCTGATCTCTCTCGTCTCCTAAATCCATCCATATTTATACAATTCCAATAATATTCTAATCAAACGTGTGTAGAGTATATTTCTCGTGCCGTTCGGTCGTCAGCGGTCGCTCGCCGTGTCTCGCCGTGTCTCGCCGAGTCTCGCCGTACCTGGCCGTGTCTCGCCGTGCCTCGCCGAGTCTCGCCGAGTCTCGCCGTACCTGGCCGTGTCTCGCCGTGTCTCGCCGTGTCTCGCCGTGTCTCGCCGAGTCTCGCCGTACCTGGCCGTGTCTCGCCGTGTCTCGCCGAGTCTCGCCGTACCTGGCCGTGTCTCGCCGTGCCTCGCCGAGTCTCGCCGTACCTGGCCGTGTCTCGCCGTGTCTCGCCGAGTCTCGCCGTACCTGGCTGTGTCTCGCCGTGCCTCGCCGAGTCTCGCCGAGTCTCGCCGTGTCTCGCCGTGCCTCGCCGTGGCTGGCCGTGCCTCGCCGTGTCTCGCCGTGCCTCGCCGTGTCTCGCCGAGTCTCGCCGTGTCTCGCCGTGCCTCGCCGTGGCTGGCCGTGCCTCGCCGTGGCTGGCCGTGCCTCGCCGTGTCTCGCCGTGCCTCGCCGTGCCTCGCCGTGTCTCGCCGTGCCTCGCCGTGCCTCGCCGTGGCTGGCCGTGTCTCGCCGTGTCTCGCCGTGCCTCGCCGTGTCTCGCCGTGTCTCGCCGTGCAGAGCCTGGTCTCATTATCCTGATCCTGGTTCATTATGATTCCCTCCAGAGTTTGTCTTAAATGTTCTGTTATTAAATTAGACAAATGGAAGTCGCCCACAGAGCTGCGGCGTCCTCAGAGACTAATGTCACAGAAACACTGTCAAATGGCACATCAGCATCCAATCAAAGCAGGCTCTGGTCCAGGACTGGTCTGGTCTGGTTTTGGTCCGGGTATTGGGTTTATGGTCTTGGTTAGAGTCTCAGTCCTGGTCCTGGCTTGTGTCTGGTCCTTGTTTCCAGTCCGAGTCGGCTTCAGGGTTTTTGGTGTGGCCTTGGGCTTTGGTCTGGCCCTGGGGTAAGGTTTGGTCTTGGTCCTGGTTTGGTTTTGGTCCAGTTCTGAGTCTTAGTCTTCCAGAAAAATACTTTGAAATCACAATAACCACAAAAATTATCAAATCAAAATACATCATTTATTGTCTTTCTCTTGTGTTTGTGATCAAGTTTTTGTCATCTGGTATAAACCATCTCTCTAATTCTTCTCTCCGTGGTGTCTCTCTCCCTGTTCTCTCTCTCTTTCTCTGGGTTCTCTCTGGTCTCTCTCTTTGGCCTCACCCTGGTCCCTCTCTCTGGTCTCTCCTTCTGGTCCCTCTCTCATGGTCTCTTTCTCCCTGGTGTCTTGCCCTACACCTCTCCCTGGTCTCTCCCTGGTCTCTCTCTGGCCTCTCCCTGGTCTCTCCTTCTGGTCTCTCTCTCTGGCCTCTCTCTCTGGCCTCCCTCCCTGGTTTCTCTCTCTGGTCTCTCTGTCTAGTCTCTCCTCCTGGTCTCTCTCTCTCTCTGTGGTCTCTTTCTCAAATCTCTCTCACTGCTCTTTCTCTCTACTCTCTCTCTGTTCTCTTTGCTCTCTCTTCTCTCTGGTCTCTCTCTGGACTCTCTCTCTGTGGTCTCTCTCTCGTCTCGCTGGGGTTTTCTCTCTGCTCTCTCTCTCTCAAATCTTTCGCATTATTTTGAATAGTTCCTGATTTAAAAGACTTGTTTACTGCGTCTGAGCGATCAGGACTCTGCACCAAATGTGTGTGAGGAGGGTGAGGGGGTGAGGGGGTGAGGAGGGTGAGGGGGTGAGGAGGGTGACGAGGAGGGAGGGGGGTATCAGATGTTTGGGAGGAGAGAGCTGTAAATTGGCTCCGGTCGGCTGGACTCACCTCCTCAGACCGGTCTGTTTGAGGAGCGCTGCTTTGACAGGTTTGGGGAGCTGAGGCGGGCGGAGCTTATCACGGCGCTGAAGTGAGACGTGGACAAACAACTTTCTATAAATACTCTACAATAAGAGGGAGAGAGGGGAGGGGGGAGAGGAGAGGGGGATAGAGGAGGGGGAGAGAGGAGGGGGGAGAGGAGAGGGGGATAGAGGAGGGGGGAGAGAGGAGGGGGGAGAGGTCAGAGGCAAGGTTTCTGTACAGTGTCTCTCAAACACTCCTAAGAACGATAGTTTCACGTAACTGTTCTGCGAAGTGTCTTAACTTTGGTAAGATCAAACCAAGGACCAGAGAGAGACCAGAGAGAGACCAGAGAGAGACCAGAAGAGACCAGAGAGAGACCAGAGAGAGACTAGAGAGAGACCAGAAGAGACCAGAGAGAGACCAGAGAGAGACAAGAAGAGACCAGAGAGAGACAAGAAGAGACCAGAGAGAGACCAGAAGAGACCAGAGAGAGACCAGAGAGAGACTAGAGAGAGACCAGAAGAGACCAGAGAGAGACAAGAAGAGACCAGAGAGAGACCAGAAGAGACCAGAGAGAGACTAGAGAGAGACCAGAGGAGACCAGCGAGAGACCAGAGGAAGACCAGAGAGAGACCAGAGAGAGACTAGAGAGAGACCAGAAGAGACCAGAGAGAGACCAGAGAGAGACCAGAAGAGACCAGAGAGAGACCAGAGAGAGACTAGAGAGAGACTAGAGAGAGACCAGAAGAGACCAGAGAGAGACCAAAGAGAGACTAGAGAGAGACTAGAGGAAGACCAGAGAGAGACCACAGAGAGCCCATATAGAAGGAGATACCAGGAAAAAAACAGAAAGAGACCAGAGAGACAATAGACACCAGAAAGAGAGAACAGAGAGAGAGAGACTATAAAGAACGAGAGAGAAAGAGAGACTAACCCGTTTCCAAACCTGTTATTATGAAGAAATGTGAAGAAGGTTTGAGTTAAATCAAACTAACTCTCTACCCCAGACACCCATGGCTCTCTCCCCCAGACTCACCCATGGCTCTCTCCCCCAGACTCCCCCATGGCTCTCTCCCCAAGACTCACCCATGGCTCTCTCCCCCAGACTCCCCCATGGCTCTCCCCCATCAGGGCTACAGCGGATGGGGGAGAGCTAACCAGCCGTGTCTCTGCTGGTGCCACGGATTATGAATAAGCTGCTGTGGAGTTATTTGTGAAAGTTTAGAGCGATGACAAATACCATGTGAGCAGAGGTTTCTGGTTCTGCCTCAGGAGTCAGAGGAGTGAGGTCTGTCTAGGTTTAGTTTATTCTTGTTTGGAGCTAATATCAGTGACAATCTGTAGGAAAGTGCTCATGGACAAAGTGTTGCTTCTTTGGCTCCATTCACTCTCTGGTCTCTCTCTGGTCTCTCTCTGGTCTCTCTCTGGTCTCTCTCTGATCTCTCTGGTCTCCTTCTTGTGTCTCTCCCTGGTTTCTCACTTGTGTCTCTTCTGGTCCCTCTCTCTGGTCCCTTTCTGGTCTCTCTCTGGTCTCTCTCTAGTTCTCTCTCTGGTCTCTCTCTGGTCCCTTTCTGGTCTCTCTCTTGTCTCTCTCTGGTTTCTCTCTGGTCTCTCTCTGGTCCCTCTCTGGTCTCTCTCTGGTGTCTCTCTGGTCTCTCTCTGGTCTCTCTCTGGTACCTCTCTGGTCTCTCTCTGGTCTCTCTCATATCTCTCTCTGGTCTCTCTCTGGTCTCTCTCTGGTCTCTCTGGTATCTCTCTGGTCTCTCTCTGATCTCTCTCTGGTCTCTCTCAGATCTCTCTCAGATCTCTCTCTGGTCTCTCTCTGGTCTCTCTCTGGTCTCTCTCTGGTCTCTCTCTGGTCTCTCTCTGGTCTCTCTCAGATCTCTCTCTGGTCTCTCTCTGGTCTCTCTCTGGTCTCTCTCTCTGGTCTCTCTCTGGTCTCTCTCTGGTCTCTCTCTCTCTGGCCTCTCACTTGTCTCTCTCTGGTACATATGCTCGCCCCTCCACACACCCGTCTCGCCACCCAAACCCGTCGCCCCCTGGTGGCCGTGTGACTAATTACCATAAGCCTCTCCCCTTGAGTCCACACAGTCCTCATCCATCTCATCATTATCTAGTACAATAATCCCGTCTTAATCACGCCGCAGCCGCTACGTCGTCACATTTACATGCAAATACAGATCATTATGGACCATCAGGGACACCATCGCTCACAGGCTCAGACCATGAAGACAAAGATGGCCGACAGCTCCTCTGATGGATGAGGAGGAGGTTTAAAGAACAACAATGGTCTTTGTCCAAAATGGAAACACTTAAAGGAACATTACTGTCGCAGAAACAAGAGAAACCGTCCTTCTCCTTTCCTCTCAGAAAGTTGTGTTTGGAGAAACCAGAGAGAGGTAAGAGAGAGACCAGAGAGAGACTATAGAGAAACCAGAGAGAAACCAGAGAGAGAGAAAAGAGATAGACCAGAGGGAGACCAGAGAGAGAAAAGAGTGAGACCAAAGAGACCAGAGTAAGACAGAAGAGAAACCAGAGAGCACAGAGAGAGACCACATTTTCTCTCTTTGGTCTCCTTCTGGTCTCTGTCTTCTACAAGGTCAGGGCGCAGGAGGCGGATGGAAAAACCATGTTAGAGAGAGACACCAGAAACCAAATCGATGGTAGCAGCAGAGAGAGGTGCAGACAGTCGCAGATACGGATCCTATTAATAATAAATAGTGTGTTTGTAAAAGTGTATTTTTAATCTGGAGACCAAGAAACAAATCGATATTTTCTCTGGAACTTTTACTCATTTTAAACCTGTGTCTGATTTATGCGACGCACACCAGGAAACGTGATTGTCTCTGTTTATGGTATTGGCTCTGATTGTCCCCAGTTTAACATTCACCTGGTGTTACAGAGAGAAAACAAGAGAAAGAGGCTGTGTCATCTCTCTCTCTCTACTCTCTCTTTCTGCTCTCTCACTTTGTCTTCCCCTCTATGGTCTCTCTCTGGTCTCTCTTTCTGGTCTCTCTCTTTCTGGTCTCTCTCTGGTCTCTCTTTTTCTGGTCTCTCTCTCTCTGGTCTCTCTCTGGTCTCTCTCTCTCGTTCTGGTTTTAGACAGTAATATTTATTCCAAAGAATGATCTGAGAATCCAGATCATTAACCTTAAGTTCTCTGTTCAGTCTGCCCCCTCAGTCTGCCCCAGGGCAGCTGTGGCTTCACCTCCTGCAGTAGTCTGCCCCAGGGCAGCTGTGGCTTCACCTCCTGCTGTGGTCTGTCCCAGGGCAGCTGTGGCTTCACCTCCTGCTGTGGTCTGTCCCAGGGCAGCTGTGGCTTCACCTCCTGCTGTGGTCTGTCCCAGGGCAGCTGTGGCTTCACCTCCTGCTGTGGTCTGTCCCAGGGCAGCTGTGGCTTCACCTCCTGCTGTGGTCTGTCCCAGGGCAGCTGTGGCTTCACCTCCTGCTGTGGTCTGTCCCAGGGCAGCTGTGGCTTCACCTCCTGCTGTGGTCTGTCCCAGGGCAGCTGTGGCTTCCTGCTGTGGTCTGTCCCAGGGCAGCTGTGGCTTCCTGCTGTGGTCTGTCCCAGGGCAGCTGTGGCTTCACCTCCTGCTGTGGTCTGTCCCAGGGCAGCTGTGGCTTCCTGCTGTGGTCTGTCCCAGGGCAGCTGTGGCTTCCTGCTGTGGTCTGTCCCAGGGCAGCTGTGGCTTCCTGCTGTGGTCTGGAGGAGGGCAGCTTTGTGTGATGTTACTTCTGACCCATACGAAGACATCAGATAAATCTGTGCTCCTCCTGGTCCGCATTTCTACAACCAGGAACCGGGAAGAACTATAGGAACCAGGTGGAACCAGTAGAAACCAGTCGGAACCAGTAGAAACCAATAGGGGAAAAAAAGGGCCATAGGAACCACGAGGAACCAGTTGGAGTCCAAAGGTTCTCCTCCATAAAGCGAGCATCTCGACACAGAGACTGCTTGTTTTCATGAAGACGCCGTGTCTCACTCTCTCTGGTCTTTCTCTGATCTCTCTCTGGTCTCTCTGGTCTCTTTCTGGTCTCATTCTCTCCCTCTGGTCTTTACCTGGTGTCTTTATGGACTCTTTCTGGTCTCAGTCTCTCTCTCTGGTCTCTTTAGGCTCTCTCTGGTCTCTTTCTGCTCTCAGTTTCTCCCTCTGGTCTCTCTCTGGTCTTTCTCGGGTCCCTCTCTGGTCTCTTTCTGGTCTCTGTCTGGTCTCTGTCTGGTCTCTGTCTGGTCTCTCTATGGTCTCTCTGGTCTCTCTATGGTCTCAGTCTCTCCCTCTGGTCTTTTCCTGGTCTCTCTCTGCTCCCTCTCTCTCTGGTATCTCTCTTGTTTCCTGTTGAATAACCCCGCCCCTTTCTCTCTCTCCTCCCAGGTAACCATCACCATGACTACCAGCACAGTCACATGGACCTGACAGCGTTCACGCCCAAACCAGGTGAGGACCAGAACGATGGAGTGACACCTGGTGCCATGCTTCTGTCTGTGTCAATTTTGAGGCTGCAGACCCAGGACTGAGACTGTAGATCCAGGACTGAGGCTGTAGACCCAGGACTGAGGCTGTAGACCCAGGACTGAGACTGTAGACCCAGGACTGAGGCTGTAGACCCAGGACTGAGGCTGTAGACCCAGGACTGAGACTGTACAGTAGATCCAGGACTGAGACTGTAGACCCAGGACTGAGGCTGTAGACCCAGGACTGAGGCTGTAGACCCAGGACTGAGACTGTAGATCCAGGACTGAGGCTGTAGACCCAGGACTGAGGCTGTAGACCCAGGACTGAGGCTGTAGACCCAGGACTGAGGCTGTAGACCCAGGACTGAGGCTGTAGACCCAGGACTGAGACTGTAGATCCAGGACTGAGGCTGTAGACCCAGGACTGAGGCTGTAGACCCAGGACTGAGGCTGTAGACCCAGGACTGACTCTGTCCAGGATTTCAGAAACATTTTCTGTTTCTGAAAAATGAAGTGAAACTGTTTTAATCTCAGGTTCTAAAAACTTGTCTGAACTGAATTAAAATGTGTCGCTGTGACTGAGGAGAGACCAGAAACACATCCTCACATGATTTGAATGAAGTAAGTGTTGAGAATACAGATGTGAGAGAGAGTAAGGACTGTTATACACACTCAGACCAGGAGACCAGAGAGACCAGAGAGGGACCAGAGAAGGGCCAAAGCGAGAGACCAGAGAGAGACCAGAGAGAGACCAGTGAGAGACCAGAGAGAGGGACCATGGAGGGAC